TCCGACCAGCATATTTCAAAACCAACACCCGTTACCCCTAGCCCATCGTCTAAATCAATCACACTATAACGAAAAAAACGATTTTTTTTGTGGTTTTCATATACATACATTTATAGTTTTTATCTGTTTTTCTTATTTCATAGTTTAGAATTAAATGGTTCGTTTAACACATAAATCATAAAAGAATACAAACTTTTTTAATTTTTGCTCTAATTTATTTTATCATACAGAAATAAACTAAAAAGGGTAGCAAATTATTAAAGGGGGTCATCTTCTTGTTGTTAGTAGACCTGTCAATGAGATAGCTTTGGAGCGAATCATCATTGAACCAAATTCTTTAAAAAATTTAAAAATATGACCAGCCCCGCCCCAATAACCCTCAGGGTTTTAAATAATCGAATCCATACTTGTATCCACCGAATCAACTAATACCCGACTCATTAACCCGAACTTTTTTCAATATTATAATTCCACAATTTTGATGTGTGCCACAAAGTAATATTTATCAAAAAGATAAAATGTCTACTTAAATAATATAGAGTATATACATTACTTAATACTCCAAATCCAATACAATAAGAATTACATTTTACTTAGACATAGAGTTGTATACTTTGGTGTTATATATATATATATATATATATATATATATATATATATATATATATATATATATATATATATATATATATATAGGGCGGGTTATAAATGAGTCAAATCGACAATGATCTATATCCAACCCATTTAATAAAATGGTAAACGTTTATGGTTGTAAACAAATAACGAAGCGAAAATTAAAATCAAAACCCGTAAACTTCTTACGGGTTTCGAACGAATAAGGATCAAATCTTGCTCGATTGACAAGTCTAATTATTAGACTAGGTTATCATTGTATGTATGAGTTTTATTCATCCGTTTAATTGATTATCAGTTTATTCAATTCGGTTTAATCAGTTTTTTTTTATTTTTCTTTACTTCTAAAATATTAACAGAAACCAAACCAAATTACGTTTGGATATATCGGTTGTAAGGTTATTTTGTTTGGTTCTTGGTTGAATTTGTTTGGTTCTTGGTTGAATCAGAATAACAAAAACCAACATTACAAGTGTATTATGAAATATTGATCTGTCAAAAAATAACTTAACAAACACCGCCTAGGCAGTTGTAGGTTAAACAATATAAAAAAAATCTGATGAAAACCATAAATGTGCATATATGCACAGTACAAAAAACGTATTTTTTTTTATCATGATGGGATTGACTTAGACAATGCACTATGGGTGATGTGGTGATATTGGTTTTGAAAAAAATTGGCCCAAAAAAAATTATCACACAAATATTGGTTATGAAATGATTTTTTGTTCACATTCAATACATTTTTTTGTATATTATATATTATTATTTAACTAGTAGAAACTGTTCATATATTACCTTTGTAACTTGCAATTGGTCATAAAAATAAATATGATAACTTCAACAAATTTGATAGTATATGATGTAAAGAAAATAAAAATAAAAAAAATAACTAAACCCGAACAAAATCAAGAGTTTGTAACCGTCATGAATCATTTTCCCATCTTTCAAATAATCAAGTGTTATTATTATTTTTTTCTTTTTTATTTACGGCATAGCTTTGCTTGGTAAATTTTTATAAAATTCGGTTGATGTTAGGAAAAAACAAAAATAAAATAAAGGGGTTTTTCTTTTTATAATATGCGTGGAGCGTGACTCCCAATATTCTTAACCAAGCACCGTTTCAATTCCCTTACGTTCCCTAAGCTTCCGATAAGTTTATGCACTATATATATATATATATATATATATATATATATATATAAAAGTTTATGCACTATATATATATATATATATATATATATATATATATATATATATATATATATGGTGAGGTTCAATAGAGAACCATAATTGACCAAGGAACCAATCTTTTTTTCAACTTTTAGAACTTATTTTTTATAAAAAAAAAACTAAAAATACAGAAATTCATAACTTTTTATCCTTTTTCCAATGATATCAAATTCGATTTTTTTTTTACGTCAAATTCACAATGTGAATCTTTGAAAATTCACAATGTGAATCTTTGAAAATTCACAATGTGAATCCGGATTAACACGGTGAATCCGAAAAATATTTTTCACATTCACAATTTAATATATGAATTTAGATATTTTTAGATTTTTTTTTCGATAAAGAATAAGCTCTAGAAATTGAAAAAAAGATTTGGTTCCTTGAAGAATAATAATTATGGTTCTCTATTGAACTTTTTCCATATATATATATATATATATATATATATATATATATATATATATATATATATATATATATATATATATTTGTGTGCAGGTTGTTTGGTTCCTTATTGTTTTGACATACATATTTGAAGTAGCTTTCCCCCACTGACAAATTGGAAACAATGATGAAATTGGGTCCACGACCATTGCGATCAGGAAATAATTGGGAGGAAAGTGGGATGAGTGAAATTGTGCAAATATTAATTTCATATGACAGCGACAGGATCTGTTCGATCCAGTTCACATACGTTCAAAATGGTGGCGTGCGGCATTCAAAAAAATATGGACAAGACTGTCGCGTGGGATTTGATGCAGTAAGTACGATTGTTTTCAATTCTTTACTTGTTTCAAATGCTAAATGCTTCCAGTTACTTTCAAGTATTTGATTGTCGTAAAACATCTTTCAAAGAGATTACTTCATCATACAGTTTTAGTGTAAACATGAATGTTATAAGTTATAACATCATTATTTTGTAACTCATTGCTGTTCAAAAAAATATATTTTGTAACTAGTTATTATATATATATATATATATATATATATATATATATATATTTTGTCTTATCGAAACGAGAAACAGATACCGATTTTGGGGTTTAGGTTGTTTGGATGAATAAATTTGTTTGTTAGTCTCAAAGCCTAACTATATGTTTGTTTGGATGAATAAACTAGTTATTATATTCTGTTGTATCAAAGTTCTTTATTTGTATTTGTGTATTTGTGTAAAATATGCATGTCTTTGTGTGCACATGGATGCATACAAGTACATAAAAAGTTTTTTTCATAAGAATCTTGCCTTGTTACAAGAATCTAAAGTTATTTGCTCATTTAAATGTTACTTGCCTTGTTACAAGAATCTAATTATCGTTATCATACGACTTTGAATGACTGTTTTTCTAAATTTACATTCTCTATTTATAAAATATACCACATATAATTAAGGTGGTACATACTATCTTGCTAGCTCCACATTTAACTTCTTTTAAGTGTTCCAGTTTTATTTGCATTGAACAATATAGGTGACATTTGATTATCCGTCTGAGTATTTAACTTCTGTAAGTGGTCGCTATAATGATGATGATCGATTGACTTCTATTGTGTTTGGCACAAACAAACGTAAATATGGACCCTTTGGACAGACATCCACATCTACAGAAGGCGAATTCAACTATAAACTTGGAACGAGGTCCTCTTTTGCAGGTTTTTATGGAACCGTTTGGTATGGTTTAGTGTATGCTATTGGAGTCTACGTCAAGCCCATCCAGTCTCTTGCTGAACTCAACAACAAGCCCATTGAGTCTCTTGCTGAAGTCAAAACTGAAAAATGATAGCTCAAACTCAAAGTATTTATACATTAATGTTATAAAGAATTTTAACACTTTGTTTGTTTGGATGATATATAATGACTATCTTTTTGGATGATATATAATGATCGTCTTTTTTGAGTTTTACTGATTTGGTTCACCTTTGTTGAGTCAAAATCATGTATTGAAAACATTAAAACAGGTTTATGTGATCATATTTTCAAGACAAAATTACAAATATTGTGTGTGGTGGAATGTTCACCAAGTGTCCTAGAAGGTGTTATATGGATGAAAGGGTGAACTATGTTGATTTTGTGGATGTGGGTGTATTCTCATACCACAAGTCAGATGATATTGATGAATGAGTTGGGGTATAACAATGGAGGCACAATGTATACCGGTTCTTGATTCGATACGCTGATTTAGATTATGTTTTACTTTTTGGTGATGTTACTATCACCGGTTCATTTTATGTAATGAGATTTATATATGTTTCATAGGGGTTTATATGTTAGTTTTAATACAAGGTTGGAGGTGCAGAGTACACACTTGTATTAGTCTGCTACCAAAAGAGTGGTGACCAAGGGGGGCGCACCCCTTTATGGGGTTAGAATCATGTATTATCTAATTCCTGGTTCTTTTTGAAACATATGAAAATTACACGCACCGTATTCTCTCTTGTTCTTGATCAATTTTTTGTGCCTAGATTCTTGATTGTTCATTTAAGGATTATCCAATGCGATTTTTTCGTAACCCAAACATAGAGGAAAAATATTAATTCGGAAAGTGAACCAACACGGTCATTGAAGAATCTAGTGATTACCAATTCTATTTCTACCTTATTTTCTAACATTGCTCATATTAGCCGTCTCTTGTATTTAATTATATTTGTATGTTGTTATTAGTTAGCCCATGTATATTTTTGGTATGAATTGGCCCATGACCTTGCTATTTTGTATATATTTCTAAGTATAGTGCAAATCCTGATTATGGGAAAATATCTTGTAACATGGTATCAGAGCATTGGCTCCAACCCTAGCTAGCCGTTGATCATCCCTTTCATTTGGTTCCTTTCTATTGACAATATGATTCCTCTTGTCTTCTTCTACCTTCTTTCTCTTCATTATCCATCAATAGTTGCTCCTATCAAAAAACCGTATGAGATTACTAATATCAAATCAGCCGCCCCATTAACACTTGATCTTGAACGGTCGAACTATGATGTCTGGCGTGAATTGTTCAATACTCATTGCATTGCATTGCATTGGATATGGGGCGTGTGACCACCGTGTGATTGCTAATGACAAACATATGAAACAGACTCAAATCAACTTTTATTGTCAGTTCTTGGATCTATGAACCCTATCACAACAGTTACTTCAAATGATCTTAAAGAAGAGTGCAATCACAAGCCATATTTGGAAGAGCATTGATGACCTTTTCTGGGACAACAAGGATGCTAAAGTGATTGGACTCGACAATGAGTTCCGCAACATTGTCATGGGAGATTCATCTGTCACCGAATATTGTTCTCGAATCAAGACAATTTTACATTTCTAAACATCCTAGACAAACACAACTAAAAGATGAACTATTTTTCATATTCATATTCATCTTCAGATGATAATGATATGTTTTGCATACATTCCTTAAAAGGACAATCATCATGTTAGCTCAAGAAGCTAAAATCAACTGTCATCAAGAAGACTAGAACATCAATAAATACGAACTGTAACGCTGCACACAAACTTCTAGTATGTGATTACTTTGTCAATGATTGCTTGTACGACCATATGGCATAGGGGTGTGTATGGGATGGTTTGAGGTGGTTAATAGCCGAAATCGAATCATAACCTAAGCATTCGGTTAAGACATTTCTTAAGCAGTGGATGGTGGTTAAAATTGCTTTTGGTTAATGGTTAAGTCAGTTATGATTATAGTTATCGGTTAATATTGGTTAACTATAAATATTAGAATTTATTGATAAATACAATGCATCTTTATAAAATGTAAGCAACGAAAAATACATTGTTCTAAAAAGTGATATGAATATTTTTATATGTAATCTATTACATAATAAGATATTTAATTTTTAACTCATTGATGTTTTAGTTGATTGACTGAAGAATTTATATCAGAAAAAGGGCTAAAAAGAGTCACAATGCAATCAAAGAAAAGTAAAATAAAACTAGCACAGAAGACAAATTAATCGCCAATGAAGCCTAACCAATGATAGAAGTTAAATTTTTTTATATGAAAAAACTTAAACAACGACAAGCATATTAAATAGATTACTATTCAAATAGATTGCCATTGAATCAATTCTAGTATTAATGTATTATATATGGACTTAAGATTTTTTAAAATTTGTGTTGGGGTATTATTATCAAATTATTGTATTAAATAGTTTAGCATTTAAATAATAATCATCTTCTCCTACTTAGGCTGGACGGAGTCGTGCGCTACGCGACCCTCGCTATGGCTCACTACAGTCGCTGTACACCGCCCCTTGGCCCTCGCCAGGAGGTTCGCTAAGGGATTGTCACTACCGGCTAAGCGAGAAGAGAGAGAAAGGGCTGCAATGATTTGATTGGCTATTGAGTTTTGACTTAGTTCACCTCCTCTTCTTTCTTCTCTGTCTGCGTTTCCGCTGCCGTCGTTCACATCTCCGGTTTGATCGAGCTATTAAGCCCCTCAACACTCAGGATACAAAAAATAGGATTTTTCCAGCCGAAAGCAACTTCGTGTTTGCTGAAACCCTATTTGTTGAAAATGGATTTTACTTGGAAGCAAATGGGCTCTGTGAATTAATAAGGGTAATAAATCTTAAAACTAGTATAAAATAAGGGTTGTGCTATAAGTACCCCCTTAACCAATTTTACCCCCCTAACATCAATCAAATCAATTTTTTACTTTTGATTTGACATTATTATTATTTTTTTCCTTTTTGTTTTTGATTTTTTTCCTTTTATTTTATATTTTAATATTATTACTATTAAATTCGGATGACATTTTAAAATTCGGTAAACATTATAAATTCGCACGACATTATAAAATTCGAACGACTTTTTTGTCCGTAATTAAAAAATATATAAAAAATATTTAAAAACCGATTTTATATAGCCGTTTGAATTTATAATGTCTTCCGAATGTTAAAATTTTGTGTGAAATTTATAATAATAATAATAATAATCAAAATATAATAATAATAATAATAATAATAATAATAATAATAATAAAGACTTAAAAACAAAATAGGAAAAAAACAAAAAAAAAACAATAAAAGACAAAAAGTCAAATCAAGGAGGGTGGAATTGGAATAGGAAGGGGATACTTTATACAAAACCCCAATATAAAAAGTAAAAACAATGATTTAGCATGTAAAAATAGTTCACTCGTCAAAATCTTACCTTTAATTTGAACTTTAAAGCAAATTTTCGAAAAGGAACATATATTTTTCGAAGAATTATATATTATAAATAAATCTCACATTTATTTCAAAAGATCTTTCTGCTTAAAGGATCATTATGTTGGAGGTGTGAACTGTGAAAGAAAAAGCATATGATCATATTTAAGCAGAACGGCCGGGAAATATGGGATCCAACGACTTCTTAAATCCTTTATTTTATTTTCTTCTGCCACCTTTTCATTAATGTGGCCCCATGTGTCATAAAATCAAATAAATTGTATTTTAAATACATTATAAAAGAACATCAACCAAGTTTCACGATCGATTAATATAAGTTATTTTAAGAAAATGTTAAGAGGTCTGACCATCATAATCATACAATTAAATCCTACCGACTAATATTAATTATTTTATCTGGTATTATTAGATTTCATGATGTTAAAATTCAAAAAGCGGCATGTTTGAAAATATTAAACTTAATTAAAGCGATTATAGCCATAATAAATATGAATATAATGCTTAAATATGTATTTATATGTACTTCAATTATGACTACAGTTCAAAAGTCGTATTGAACACCCATATAGTTAGGCTTTGAGACTAACAAACAAATTTATTCATCCAAACAACCTAAACCCCAAAATCGGTATCTGTTTCTCGTTTCGATAAGACAAAACAGCAAACAGTTACGAGACGCATCGATTTGTGGGATTAATCTTGTGATTCACCTTCTTTTTCTTTTTCTTTTTGTATACAGTTTACTAGAATCGGTTTCTTCTTTACAATTTTGATCGGATTCCATGATCGAATCTTCCCCAGGGTTCTTATCTGAACATCTACTGATTCATTTTCAAATTTGAAGTATTGGACGTTGATGAGTCGCTGTGGCTTTCCGATCAGCGAAGTGTTTGCGTGGATTTTACATTTGGATGTTCTTTGACGTGCAAAGGTAAACTATTTCGAATGCATACAAACTGTTTGTGGAAGTGTCTGTGAGAAGTTTTTGCATCTGTTCTTCTCCTTTCTCATGTTTGGGTAAAATATATTTTGCCTTTTGGCGTTGTTCTTGAGTTGTTTTTTCATTATCTTTAATTAATAATTATGTTCTTGGACCTGGGCTGTTCGAGGTTCCTAATTTTCAGTCCAAAACACTTTCAAGTCGACTTTTCTAAAGAAGGGCTTAAATCCGCATCTATATTCCATATTAAATCACAAGAAACCTTAAAAATGATAATGGTAAATCTTTCAAGTTCTTCAACTACCCATATTTATACTAATAATATAAACCTTTCATGCTTATTTTGCAGAATCTTTGGTATATATTAGAGGCTTGATGTTATGGGATAGTGAATATCAATCTTAAAATGACAGAAAACAACACAGATTCAATAATGGGAATAGAAGAAACTGGCAAATCTTTAAAAGAAACTCTTCGTGCTCAACAACAACTCCTTCAAAAACTTTACAATGAATTAGATGTAGAAAGAGAAGCCTCTTCTTCAGCAGCTAGTGAAGCATTAGCAATGATTCTTCGTCTTCAAGGAGAAAAAGCTTCTGTAAAAATGGAGTCCGAGCACTACAAAAGATTAGCAGAAGAAAAAATGTGTCACGCAGAGGAATCCATTGAAATATTCGAAGAACAAATTCACCAAAAAGAAATGGAAATTGCTTCATTAGATTGTCAACTTCAAGCCTACAGATACAAGCTAGCAAGCTTAGGGTTTGAAGATATTGGAGCCAATGAAACAAGCCATGAAAGTCTTTTGAGAAGAAACTCTGCACCCCCAAAACTTCTGAGACTTGCTTATTTGAAAAAAAATCGATCCATAAGTCCAGATTCTGATATAAATTCAAGAACATTGGATGAAAATGTAGGGGAAGATGAAAGTCTTGATTTAGAGAAACAAAGTTATTGGGATCAGATTCGAAAGTTGGATAAGATAGTTGAAGAGATGGCAGATGATGAATATGTGAATTTAAGGATCAAATCTTCAAAATCTTCATCTGGGTTTCCTCAAATAAATGAATTAGATGAAAATCAAAGTGTCAAAAAGTTGGAAAACGATGAGATGCCTTCGGATACTTGTTCTTTAAGTGTGCATGATGTTTTTGAAGTACCTGAAATTAATGAGGTGGAAGATAATGGGAAATTGATCTTGGAAAGTGAAAATAAGTTGGAAAAAGTTTTGATTTTTCCTGAAGAGGCTATAAAATCATACGAAAAAATGCTACTTTTGAAACAGAAAGAAAAGGAGGTATTTTTGCCTAGAGAGAATATTGTTGTGGATTGCCACATGGCGATTGATTTTCCAGTTGAAGGGTCATCTCAACAAGTGAAGAGAAGAATGGAAAGAAGAGAGGATGATATAGAAGATGAACAAATTGGGATTACAGGAAAAGAAGAAGTGTTGAGATTGTTAAATGAGATAAATCAGAAATTGGATTCGATACAATTTGAGATCAGAAATGGAAACAAGAAAAATGAAAAATTGTCTCAGAGCTATGACTTGCAAATGCTTCAACTTTCAGAGGTATTATTATCTTTCACTTTCACTTTCACTTTCACTTGTGTGTGTTTGGTTGATGGGAAATTTGAGTTAATTACATTTTTGGTCCCTAAAAGATTTCTCTTGTAATTTTGGTCTTTATTGGGAATAACTAATAAGTATGTTTTTGTTGAAATATATATATATATATATATATATATATATATATATATATATATATATATATATATATATGCACAGGCAATGCTGCACTTTTGGCTGTAATGTGATTTAACAATCTTCCTAATTGCTGCTACCATTACCATGTAAGTGTTTATGTTTCTAACTACGAGGTTTGGTGTGTAAAGTGAGAGTGGTTCTTGTGATTTGATTGGTTGGTGGCTTTTTAGATTTGTTTGTACCTATGGCATATATACTTGTACATATCATACTGTATTTTTGAAGTCGCAGTTGCAGTGAAAGTTGACTCGATAGTGGTGGAATTGTATTTTGAGATAACACTAAATGAATTCTTGCAGTGTAATTGTTGATTCTGTTTAAGATACTTGAAGTATAATTTTTATAGTTGGTATTATTTATTTATTTTATTTTTCTATCGTGGGTTTGACTGTTGTAAATAAATTACAATTCAGATTAGTTTGTTTTCATATGATTTGATTGGCACCTATATTAGTGACTTCCAACCAACCTTTACACGATGTTCTCATGGTTTTTTGGGGATAAAAAGGGAGGCAAAGATAAAGAAAAAGAAGTAAAAAAGAAAGAAAACAAAGAAAAAGTTGTGATTCTGATTTTGTTGTATGTGGAAAAGGGTAGGTAGATTCTATGTTGTTTGTTCTTTTTAATCTTTACTTATGATATTTGAAAGGGAAAATAACATAAAAGCCCTTAAGTTTTCACAAAAATGTCGGTTTTACCCTTGGACGTGTTTTATGTCCAGTAAAGCCCGAAGTTTTGTTTAATTTGTTCATTTTTACCCTTGTAGCCGGTTTCCAGGTAACCTACCGGTTACCTAATGCCATTAAAGCCCTTGATTTTCAAAAATGTTGAATTTACCCTTAAATTTTTCAAAATGTTCGGATTTACCCTTACATTGATTGTGTTATTATTCTTATTATTATTATTATATTATATATTATTACATTTTAATTGTATAAAAATATTTTATACAACATTTTTACATGTATAAAAATATTTATACATTTTTAATACATTTTTATACATTTTTAAATGTATAAAAATATTTTATACCCCATTTTTAAATGTATAAAAAATATTTTTACTAATATAAATATATTTTAAAAATATATGTACTTGTATTTAGTATTTATACATTTGAAAACCCTAAATCTTCATCTATAATTGTTGAATCGAACAGAAAAGCTTGATAAAGTAAAAAATGTCGTCAATGACTGATTTTGCAAAAACAAATGCTTCAGATCAATATAAAAATTGATGCATTTCGTGATCTTTTTTGTGAACTTACAACAATCATAAATGAAGTTTACACTCGTATTTGACATTTCGTTATCAATTTTTGAGATAAAAACAGTTAATGAATGATTTTAAGTTGATAATACTTAATTTTACAGTGATCAAGTGTTTTGTCGAGGTTTTTTTTTGATTATATTCTGTATATTTTCCATTTACGAGTGTTATTTGTTGATCATTATTGTTATCTTATCTACTAACTTTAACCTAATATAGTTGAATAGAGAGGTTTTTTCAAATTTTATAGTAAATCTTATCTGTAATCGACTGTTTTTATTGAGGTTTTCTAATTACGAGGGTTTATAATTGTTACGTTATGTTTTTAATTAAGGATTATTTATTGCTTATCTAGTAGTATGATGTTTGAAATAAATATATATTTATACTTGGTAATATGTACAAAATACATATAATTAGATCTTGTATATAATAGAAACCAATAAATACATTATTTTATATTATATGTATATAATATATTTTTATATGAAATATATATATATTATATATATATATATACTTATACTTACTAAATACAAATAAATACATTTTTAATATATAAATACATTTCTATAGGAATACACGGGCTTTCAAATGTATATATAAATATTAAATACAAGTATATATATGTTTAAAAAATATATTTATATTAGTAAAAAATATTTTTATACATTAAAAAATGTGTGTATAAAATATTTTTATACATTTAAAAATGTAATAATAATAATAATAATAATAAGAATAATAATAATGATAATAATATGTATAAAAATGTATTAAAAACGTATGAAATATTTTTATACATTTAAAAATGTATGTATAAAGTATTTTTATACAATTAAAAATGTAATAATAATAATAATAATAATAATAATAATAATAATAATAACAATCAATGTAAGGGTAAATCCGAACATTTTTTAAAATTCAAGGGCTTTACTGGCATTAGGTAACCTAGGTAACCGGTAGGTTACCTGGAAACCGGCTATAAGGGTAAAAATGAACAAATTAAACAAAACTTCGGGCTTTACTGGACATAAAACACGTCCAAGGGTAAAACCGACATTTTTGTGAAAACTTAAGGGCTTTTATGTCATTTTCCCTATTTGAAAAGCAAAGGTGTGAAATTTTTTATAAAATTTGATTACAATAATGTTCCCCCCTCTACTTTACTTTTATTGATATGCTTGTAATTATCATATATTTACACAACAATGGCAATATTATAAAACTATTGCCGTTTCGTCCCTTTCTCTCCAAATTAAGAGATCAAAATTCTTGTTACATATAAATAAAAAAATAATTTATATTTATTGTCATAGGCTTGGTATGATTACATAATCATTCAAAATAAAAATGGGATACCTAATACCCCCAAATATACCTGCAAACTCGGTATCTATTTACTAACCGAATACACAGTGGAATGAAAACAGGTTTAAGATTACAATTTATAGTCAGTTATGTGACTGTGATCACCAATATTCGTTCCACCCCATCTCATTGCTTTCCTATGTAAAAACTGCATTGGGACTCTTTTTTTTTCCTTATTTTATACATTCTTTTTTTATTCAAAATGACTATCTATACTGATTTTAATCTTATTGGTCAACATCATAATAATCCCCAACTAGCTGACCTAAAAGCTAAAAGCTGGTTTTAAATATATAAAAGACAAATTCCAAAAAGAAAAAATAGCAACGTAGTTTGCCTGTTCCATCAATATGCACACTATATTTTAACTTTCACCTATGATAAATTAAAATGTTTTTTAATTATCTAGCTTGGGCAATATGAAACGTGAGATCTTGACATGGGTTATTCCCCTTCATCTGCCACGTAAGCATTATTGGATGTCACATAACATTGAAATGATGCCAGTATGCCACATAAGCAAAAAATTGAAAGAAAAAAATGCTATAATCCATAGAAAATTACAAATACATTGCTATTACAGTTAACATTATAGTGAAAAAGTATGTTGTTATTTCCTTAAAATTATTTTCATTTTTTTCCTGCTTATAATCCATAGTTTGTCTTACTACTATAGTAGTATTTACAGTCTTCTCTAGATCTTTAAATTCAGTGATTTGCAGATTAAGATCAAGCAATATCATAAATCTAAAAGAAAATCAATACCAAGTAATCAAGTTATCATCAATACGAACATCATATACCACATTCTTCCATATATAACAAATTATAGAGACAATTGAAACCCTCGCACCCATATCCGCTTACATAGAAGAAAACCCAAAACAGAGATAATTTGTTCATATGATATAAATGTTAATGAAGGCTTCTAGAATACCAATTCGTAAAAAACAGTAGAATCGAGCATCTAGAAATCAAAATTCATTCAACAGCAACATAGAATACAAAATCCAATCAATATGCTGGAACATCACACAAATCGAACTCCAATACGTAATCAGATCTAGAGCATCCGATTCAATATATTGGAATCATGATTAGGTTTCTATATACACAAAATTTTCTCGAGAAGTTTTAGCCCTCGCAAAAACCCATAGATTTTACAAACCGTATAGTATCAAAAGCGGATAGAAATAACCTAGCTCGTCGATGCTCCGTCGTCATCCTTCTTCGATCCGCCGCAATCATGGTCATGATGATCATCGTGACAATCCTCGTCTTCGCTGGAATCTTCATCGAAAGGTTTTTGTTTATGGAAGATGCAGCATTTTTTTGAGCTCTTCTTTTGGAGAAACTCGTTATCGACGGTGCCTTCTTTCCATGTCACCTTCTTCTTCCTTGGATTGAGCGTCAATGTTAGGGTTGTTGTCTGCGGCGGAGATGGGTTCTCTAAGGTTATGGTAGTGGTGGTCGTTGCCAATTGCCTTGCAGGTCTCGCCATTTTCGCCTTCTTGAAATTTCTAGGGCTTTACCGGTGTGAATGATTTAATTTGGGGAGAGCGTCTATATATACGTGTCTATATATACCTGTGTGTGCTCTGCAAATTCAATAGTTTAGCCATACGCTGTCGTATTCGACTTTTCTTTGTGCACCTCCTCCACTTTAAAAAGTTTGTAAGTTTTTAGACTAAACTGCACAAATGGTCCATATGGTTCGCTCAAAATTGTCATTTTTGTCTAAAATGGTTTTGACTATCACCATAGGTTCAAAGTTTTCATTTTGTTGCGATTTTGGTCCAATTTGATTTAGAAATATTTAAAATGACGGATTTACCCTTGGTACTTTCTTTTTCTATTTTTTTATTTATTTAAATGTTTTTTATGATTAGAAGAAAAATAAAAAAGAATCTCTCTCTTTCTCTTTCTCTCTCTCTCTCGTGACCCATTGCCATCAAACAACCCAATGTCGTTGCTGCCTTGCACCTGTTGCCTTCGTTCCAGCATTCACCTGCCATCACCCTCCACTAAAAACCACCGACTGTGTGGCCACCGTGCAACCACCACAACTCTGTCACCACCCCTGTTCTCCCTCTTCTTCTATCAAATGAAGCTTGTATTGATCTGCTGCCTCCCTCATCGTGGTAAATGGTCGGACACAAGAAAAAACCATACAACAAGCTGTCGCTGCAGCTCCTGCCTTCGTCACCCACTCCGTCATCACCAGTCACAGCCACCATCTCCAACTTCTGTTCTTTCGATTTTCTCCAATTCCACTCCTACTTCAAGAATCTTCAGGGTTTAGGACTATGTTCAACAAACAGATAGAAGCAATGCGCCCTCCATCTTT